GCTCTTAAATCTGATGAACACTCCTGAGCACTGATCAGCACCTTTTACTCAGTCAGCTCGAAGGTAGCTGAAAGCACTAAAATGGCTGCAGCACATATACAAACATATATGCTACATGTGACATAGTCTACACTGTACACATATCTGATCAATATCATATACATATATATATATATATCAATATAATATCCCAGAATTTTATCCCAGAACTATAGTATATATCCCAGAATTAACTATAGTATATATCCCAGAATTAACTATAGTATATATCCCAGAATTAACTCAAAGCATGACTACACCGCTTGGTTTTGATGACTCGATGACTACGACACACTGTCATTCGAAGTTGCAGTGGATTGTTAAACCATCTCCTGAGGGGGTTCAAAATAGAGGATGTCATCCATCAATAAGTCAATCTTTGTAATACATCTATATATTATACTATTATATATTATATTATATTATATATTCAACATTATTCAACTATATTATGTATAAATGCTATATTCATGATATTCAATTACCATCTGGTTATGACTAACAGTTCGCCATGGAAATTTCCCAAAATAGCCATGGAGGTTTCTAGCTGGGAAAATCGACATCCATTTCCATGGGCCATCGAACTACCATGGCTATGTAACAGTCATAACCAGAGGGTATATCAATGGTATAGCTAAGGCCTTAAGTTGGTTATATCACAAAAAAGGCCTCTAATTTATATTTAGAGTTGGTTAATGCAAAAAAAACATATGATATTCACTTATATTATGTATAAACTCTATATTCATTACATTTATATAAAACAAAATGGGCTTCCGCACTCCGGCTTCATACTGAGCAGTGGGATCTGAATGGCCACACCTGGAGACTGGCCGGTGAACAACCAGATGGGGGGTATCTTAAAAGTCAACAACAGAAACCTACCATTCGCTGATGGTTTATATTGGTTTATATTGGGTAATGGGTTATATGGGTTATATTGGGATATATTGGGTAATGGGTTATATGGGTTATATTGGGATAAATTGGGATATACCACATTTGGGGGCATGGTTTATATTGGGTTTACCACATTCTCCCATGACATCTGAGTTCGACCAATTTTCAATTTGCTGGGTGACCATGCCATCAAAGCGTGCCAGTCCCAATGACCCAGGCATTCGTTGGGCCATCCTTGGCACAAAACCACTAGGTACAGTCGAAATCTGATGCCATACCCTCCGATAGTCAGCTCCATGGCTGGAAAACTCCCCATTTAGTTCGATGATTGTGCTATTATGTCCTACCAAAACCTCCATTTGAGGGATTTGCCAGTTAGCTCTTTCACCAGAGGGTACATCGATTTGTGGATGATTTTCCCATATATTTTCCCATACTTCTGGATGTTTTTCCCCCATACCCTCTAGTAATTTAACATAACTATGGAAAATCACCATTTTTTTTGGGGAAAATCCACTATAAATGACCATTTTCCCATACTTCTGGATGTTTTTCCCCCATACTGTGGATGGGCCAGCGAAATCCGTAGGTTCCCAGATTTTCCACAGATTTTCCCAGGTCTCCCCGCTGGCGATCATGCAACTGCCCAGCAGGGCAGGATCCGAGCCAAGGTAGCCTGGTGGCTGTCCATCGAGCCAAGGTGGCTGCTTTAATGGAAAAAAACATGGGGATAGGATGAATGAGATCATTTTAGATGAATGGATTTTAGATGAATGGATATATATATATTTATTTAAAGATGATTTTTAGATTAGATGGTATGGGATGATAGTTAATCGATATGTGTATGTATATATATATGTGTGTATATTGGTATATGTTCTTAATTGGATAATTAATAGGATAATACATAAGATAATTTTAGATGAATGGATTTTAGATGAATGGATATAATTTTAGATAATTCTTAGATTACATATTAAAGGTATAGTTAATGGGATAATTAAGATGAAATATGGTATAGTATAAGATATTATATAAAGATTGATGGGATAATTATTGGGATAATCTACTATGAATGATTATTAATCGGATGATTGAATTTTGATAATATGGTGTCATATGAGATGATCAATATGATATCAATGGGATACGATATGGGATATGATATGAGTGTCATAAGTCATAATTATGATATTTCCACTGGATAATTATAATATGGATTAATATGTAATAAGACACCAGAGAATGGGATAAGATGGGCTAGTTAATATAAGATACTACGGGATATAATGTGGATCTCACTGGGATAATATATAATATACCCTCCCGCGACATGGCTTGCTGGCACATCCCTGATTTAAGATGATTTTCCCAGCTATGAACCTCCGGGATGTTCAATTACCATGGTTGATTACCGGTCTATCCCACTGTATGCCATATTATTCCAGTTGGAAGGGGTTTGAAGAGCTTGTAAGCCGTGACCCAGGAGCAGCTCAGGTATTTGTGTGGGTCATGAAGAACATCATATCCCACTCGCAGGGATATGAAAGACGGTCTCAATGGGATCTCTTGCTGTGGCTATCGTAAAAAAACAATGGACTCACCAGTTGCAAAAACTGCCAGTAATGATTGATCCATTCTTTAATTTAATGGGATTATTGGGATTACCCTCTGGTTATTTCACATAGCCATGGAAAATGGCCCATTTATAGATGGTTTACCTATTAAAAATGGTGATTCTCCATGGCTATGTCAAATAACCAGATGGTAATAGTGGCTCACCAGTTGTTTTGTTCACTTGTGAGTTGTCACTATTCACATATCAGGTTGCGGACGAGCTGAAACCCTCCAGTGTAGTAGTCACGCATCCCTAACCCTACAAAGGCGGTTTAATATATTGGATGTATGTTTCTTGATTTCAGGTGGCTTAATCTATCCTAATCCCATGTATTATAGCTGTTTATGCTGTTTATACATGTCTTTTAACTTTTGATCCATCTTAATCTCATATATATAATTATCTGTTGTTGAAATCATATATCTGCCATGCCATGATTTCGAAGATCAATGAATTTCACCCAGAATCACTTCACCAGATTTGACAGCGATCTGATAGGAATCGAATTGGATGAACATTATCATCCCACATACTTGTTGGACATTAGATGTTGGGTCCAGTTGTTAGGTCTCAAATATCGAAAAAGTCGGGATTTTTTTTCGGAGTCAAAATTCAAGATATTTGAGTTATTTGAGACTAAAATATACTAAACATCACTGTCAGGGCAAAAGTCTTCAGAGGCATTATCCGTACCCTACGGAATCCCATCTGCGCAAGGTGGTTTCTACTGGGACAAACTATGGCCATGTTGCGGCTTGAAAAGACAAACTATGGCTGAAACCACCTAGATTTAGATCATCATTGGTTATATATACTCACTATACTTCCATGATATCCCCACTAGCTATCAATTGTTAACTATCCACTGCAGATGGTATCCCAAGCAGTGTCACAACTAACCATGATCCTATCAAAAAAATCATCATTGAATACCAGATTTCTTGCTTGCACAAGCCCATTAAATCATAAATCCCCATAGGGCCATCAACCACTTCATTGACCTCATAGGGCCATCAACCAGCAGGGATTTTGGGCATTGTTCCACTGACTTCCAACTGGTGGTTTCCAACCACGAGTTGGAAACCACTTCCTCTATTCGGAACCAGGACCAGCTGTATCTTTTCCAGCATGAATGCTCCTTAAACAAACTGAAAAGCCCATTATCTTCAGCTTAACTATACCTGAACTTCATCAAAATCAGAGGTTTTCTGGGAATTTCCTTGGAACTTGGCTGCCAAAAATCAGCTGTAACATATTGTAACATGTGGAAAAAAATCCTCTGCGCCTAGTCGTGGGTTCTGCGCAAAGCCGGAGCCCAGAGAATCAAGACCGGCCTGGCGGTGGCTGGATCAACCCTTCAGTGAGACTTGGGGCCGGGGTTTTTTCTAGCTCCAAATCTGCATGTTCTTCAAATGGCAACCCCAACATCAAAATGATAAATATATATAAATATGATCTGTCCCTTTAAATATCATCAAAAAAATATCTCGGAAAGGTGTGTGAAACACACCTGAAACAGCGTTTTTTTGGGGGTTGCTATAGAGAAAAATGTCGAACAAATGACAACCTGAAGCCTTCGAATGGGATTTTGTGAGGCACTGGCAGGAGATTTGATCCCTCCGGGTGTTTTTTTGGGACCCATGGACCGCCAAAACTTGTGACAAATAAGACCTAGTAGGACCCCCCAACAGCCTATCATTCAGATTCATCAAAGTTCTGACTCCAGGCTCTTCACTGTGAAGATTCCACCTTGCCACAACTAGTATTGGTTCATACCCAATGAAAACGCACATAAGCATTGGCTTTTGTCAGTGCTGCAGTCTGAAAATACCTTCAAACGTCTCCAAACTATCCCCAAACTCCAATGTTTGATCATCATGTTCCATGTGTTCCCATTAAACATGTCCATAGCATGAGGTTTGTCTGAAAATCGGGTCCCCCAAATGTTGATTGTTACCATGTTCCATCCATGGCATTGAGGACCCTGGTATCTTCGCCTCCATGGCATTGAGGACCCTGAAGACACGCTCAAACCTCGGGGGGACAAGACGACTGGACTTTCATGGCTTGAAAATCCCATTCAATGACCATTCTAACCTGATGAAATCCCATGAAATCAGCATCGTTGATGCTTCTATCGCCATTATGTGATAGAACCATAGTTGTTAGGGGCCCCATATCCCAACTTCATTTCTTCCACCCCTGGCCTGCACCCCGGAAGTCAGGATTGTTTGGCGCCCAAGGAATCACTGAAAACCTGTCAGTTCTACTTGGAGAACATACATCCCAGATAGTAAATGCACGAAATAACGGAAAAAACATAGCTATTTCTAGGAGATCCCCACTTATATATGGCTGCACCAAGTAGGGAATCATGCCACTTGATTCAACCATGCTCAGAATCAGTCTATGATCTCCCAACCTCCTTACCAACAGGACCGTGTTTTTCTTTCAACCTGCCGACATGCAAACCATCTCAGCAGCAAAAGTGTTCAAACCGTCAGGACAGAAGGGCCACAATTGGCCAAGACCAATCTGTACACTGTACACACAGAATCCAACTGAGCACAACTGCTGAGCAGCCTGTGTAACTTGGTGGCTTTAAAACCAGCTGATGGTTTGGTTTCGGAGCCCTCAAATCCTGGGGGGTTCGGGCATCCCAAAAGACAGGATGGGTTGGTTTTACACTCATCACCAGTCCATCTGTGGGTTCATAGGTCTTTTGACCATACCCACTGAAGGGTCTGAAAATAGGCTACTCCAAAATCTCATGGTATATCATCATTTTCCCCATCAACATGGCATTTTTCAAGCACCTTCCCCGTTTTTTGGGGGGACAGGCGCCATGTGCCATGTCATTGGTGCTCATCGTTTCGACATCCACGCGCCCACCAGCAGGCCAGCCCCAAAGGTCAGGGCCAGGGCGATGTAAGGACGATGATCGCCTTAATTGAAGCCCCAGAAGGGAGAGATTGAGATGTATACTGTATATGTTTATTACCATCTGATTATTGCAGTACCCAATTTTGAACCATACCCATATGTGAATGAAACAAGCATTAGTTTATGATCTTGACTTTTATGAATGGGATACATCCAATGATAAGCTCCCCCAAGTAATTTATTGTATAATATGGTGTCCTATCCAAATCGTAAATCTGGGCCTTGGGTATGGTTTCTAGGTAGGTTTGCCACATTGTCTTGGTGGGTTTTCCCATGACTTGTGCAATGGTTGACCTCTCAGCTCAGATGATCCATGGCTTAAAATGACAACCATGTAACCGTGCTTCAACATGATCCGCTTCAAAATGTCATTCACCCATTTACAGTGGAAATCATCGAGGTCATCTACAATCATCATCTGTATATACTTTTTTCAATGACAAAAACTGATATACCCTCTGGTTAGTTAACATCGCCATGGGAAATGGCCCATTTATAGATGGTGTACCTATTAAAAATTGGTGGATTTTCCATGGCGAACTGTGAATGTCATAACCAGATGGTACATCAATCAGGGGATGTGCTAGGTCATCTACATCCAAAAACTGACAACACCACAAAAATCGCCCAGCGTCCGGAACGCTTCTCCACGCAATGTGGAAGTCCGGAACGGTGCTTGGGGTAGTTCCTGCGAAGCCAAGATGTTGCGTTGCCAACCCTCCGGTAATCAGCTCCAGGGCAAGGAAATAGCTATAGAAAATGGTCCAAGTATCAATGGTTTACTTGTTTTTACCTATCAAAACATGACGATTTTCCATATATAGCTATTTTTTAGAATTTGCATTGGGTAAATGGAACCATCATCGAATTTCCAGCAAGACATGTGACTGACTGATTACTGATTGCCAAAGGCTACCAACTGGGATTCAACAGAAACATGGCAAGTTGAGCCAACGACTGATGAAAAACTTAGGCATCCGCCAGCAGTTGGATGATTGTCCTAGCGAAATAAATTTGGGTTCGTAGAATCCCCATAGCAACTGGGAGTTTTTGAGTCCCTTTAACCAATAAACCAGGGATCACCAGGGTATCTCTGGACCAAGGCTACCCACAAAAAGTCGCGGAACTTTCGGTGGATCAAAGTGTAGGGAAGAAAAACCCAGCTGGTGACATTTTTGGATGAGAAAAATACATAGAAAATCTGAGGAACAGATGAGGATAAACCATTGGATTCTGAATTAATCCAATGTGTTGACATACCCAGGAAAACCAGTTCATGGCTATAGGATTTGTGACCCAGTTCCACCCGTTTCGGTGTCCTCACGGCCTCCGGTGGTAGCACGTGGAAGCGTAGGCTCGGGTCGTTCACCGCAGGACCATAGACGCGGGTGATGGGGACGATGCCGGCCCAGAGCTTGGGATTCTCGATGTCCTGAGACTGAGATGGTTTGAGATATTCGGGTTATTTAGGACATGGCAAAACAAGGAGTTTTTGTGATATGGATATTATAACATATCATAACATATTTGTGTCTTGAGATATTGTTTAATGTTAGCGATTGACATCATATGCTTAACAGGCTTAACATTTATGTGTTAAGTTAATATTCAATGAATATGGGGAATCTTGTTGGACATATTTGGGTATGATGCTTCGACTGCGATATGACTTTGGAAAAATATATGAGGTAAAGCATAGGAAGAAAAGCCAATATTGAGATGTCCAGCTCCGAAGCCCAACAGTATCAGCTCCGTGGCTGGCAAATCCCCGTGGCCTAGCCATGGAGGTTTAGTTCGCTGGGAAAATCAAGTGAAAATGGTGGATTTTCCATCAAGCCCTGTTTGATGACCTGAGGGTATGTGATATAACTATTATATATATATTATATATATATATATATTGTTTGTGAAATAACCATGTCTTATTGATGACTGCATGCCAAAAATCTGCAGCAACTTCGCAGAATTCTGCGTGGATTACAATTTCCATATTCCATTTGAATCATTTCACGTGGCATCTCCTCGATTTTGAAGTAGTACATCATCATAATATCATAATATCCCCATGGGGGGAACCTTAATATCATAATATCATAATATCATAATATCCTAGGATAATCCCCATAATATCATAATAGTACAAGATCATGATATCATAGTACCATCTGGTTATTTATATAACATAGCCATGGTTTGTCGATGGCCCTAATCGAAATAGATGGTTTACCGTTCTTAATAGCATGGTAGATCTTTCCGTGGTAAACTGTTAGCCATAACCAGATGGTACCCTCTGGTAAACATACAAAAAACTATGGAAAATCACCAGTTTCAATGGGTAAATACACTATTTCTATGGCCATTTTCAATAGCTATGTTAGACATAACCAGATGGTACATCATCATACATCATGATCTTCCTCATATCCCCATGAAATCCCTGCAGCTCAGTGGACCTCCTTGTCATCGTTGGCACCTTCCGCACGCGTCTTGGCGCTCACACAGCCGTCCTAAAGCCGGGTGGCAAGTCTTTCGGTATATAGTTTCATCATTGATTCATAATAAACTAATACCGAAGACTTTCATCATTGATCCATTAATCATTGATTCCATCATAGTATATAATGAATGATGACTTTCAATCATGACTTCAATGATGACTGATGATGGAAGATTGTCACTAATGGATGATTAATGGATGATTAATGGATGTTTTTAATGGATGATGGTCCTGGATGGTCATCAATCTTCTATGGGATGAATGGGATCAACATAGTCATCATAATTATGGACAAATACATATTAATGTGGGTCTATATCTCATGGAAAAAGGCCGTGGGAAACCCGATCTAGTGTGGGTTTCAGTCAATGTGGTGAACTCACTTTGTAAATTAAATATGTAATAACTTACTTATTCTAAAGAAAAAACTATAATTCCTGATAATCCCCCAATCATCCACTATATAATCATCCAGTACTAATCCATAAATCATCCATTAGTCACTAAAAGTACTTTATCCGATCATACATATATATACCACTAAAAGATACTAAAAGTACTATACCATTCCATCAAAAATAATGGTCACTAATCATCCCCATCCATAAATCGTCCCATCCATCAATAATAGTCACTAATCATCCAATAATCATCAATGACTGATAATCCTTCATCATCCATTAGGTCCATCATACCATAGACTATATCCAATCATATCATAGACACTACTAATCATCCAATAATCATCCAATAATCATCAACTGGTTGGTGGTATACCTACCCCCCTGAAAAATGATGGAGTTCGTCAATGGGAAGGATGACATCCCATATATGAAATGGAAAATAATCCAGTCATATTCCAAACCACCAACCAGATCTGGTGATTTCTTACACTTTGCCACGGCAAAATCACCATAACTGTTACACCAAACCACCAACCAATCAATGATCCAATAATCATCCAATAATCATCCAATAATCATCCAATAGTCAATAATCATCAATGACTGACAATCCTCCAGTACCCATCCCATCCCCATCCCGAATCCATCTCCTTCATCTCCAAACGCAAGACCCTCGTGGACGCCACCTCCGCCTCCGTCATCGGCCGCTGCACCGTCTGCGAGAAGCCCGGCGAGGGCCCCGCCGCGTGGTCCACGATGAGGTCCAGGGAGGACCACTTCGCCGTGGGATCCGCGACTTCCTGGGGCGAAATCTATGGCTTCACCCGTGCTTCAACACCCGGAAAATGGCAAATGACTGGGATCCACTACTTTTCCTGCTGGCTGAGCTGTGGAGATTGAAGCTTAACCACTGCAACTATGGACCATAGGTGAAACATGGTGAAACTCTCAGCTGAATTTTTAACCCATACTTCTAGCCCTGCTATGCCCTGCTGACCAAGTTTCTTCAGCTTTTCCATGAACCATCACACAGCGATAGTTCACACTCGAGTGCATGCCTCCCAGCAGTCAAAATAGCCATTTTAAGCGATGGTCAGCCTTTCTTGTGACGTCACTTGTCATTGGTTGTACGGTAGAGATATCTGAGCCACTCAGAATATATCACAATATGGGGGTTTCCTAATGGGGATCCCCAAGTCACCATGGCGTTCAATACAAAATATATACTAAAGTGGTCTAAGTTTGGATGGTTCGGGGGTGCCTCCATGACTTAGGAAACCCCATATGAGATGGGATTATAATATTATGATTTACAATGGTCAAATGGTCTCAACACCCTGATGATTTTATATCATAATTATAATCGTTTGGTCATTCACGGCTTGGATGATTTGGGGGTACCTCCATGACTTAGGAAACATCCATATAATGATCATAATGCCTTTTTCCTGTTGGCACATCAACACCAACCCCCAACAAAAATCCACCGAAATCGCCGATCTCCCCACCTGAACGTGCCAAAACCAAGCCGTCTTCCAGGGTCATGCAAAAGCAAAGGTCAATGCTTCCTGGACTCGGCTTGAAGCTTGGAGCGTTGGTGCTATGGAAGGGTGGCATGATATAGGTGTTGATATATAGATTGTTACATAATTATATATATAGCATAATATAGCATAATGCGTGATGGCCAAGTTATGCTAAGTTCTACCTTGATGAGACTCGATGAGACTCTACCCTGCAACAGCATCAAAAAACAACTGGACGCCAGGTCTCCATTTCGCAAGACGCCCGCACTCACGTGCCCGTGGAGATACAAGAAATCTTCTTGCCGGCCGTAGATCATGGGGCTGATCTTCACATTTCCCTCTCCATCCACGTAGGCCTCCGGAGCTGGGATGATGGGACTGGGCTTGAAAATATTGGGATATACTCGGTCATCTACTAGTTTGCTATGGAAAACAAGCATTTTGAATAGGTAAATCATCATAAATCATCTATACCATTTTTCATATCGATGTTAAATTACCATAGTATAATTATCGAAATTCAAACCACCAACCACCCGCAGAAATCGATCGTGCTTTTGAAAGCTGAGGCATTGAATCTTGGTGGCACTCAAGTTTCTACAGCAGAGCCGTGAATGGAAGCGGGACAAAACGAACATCTGCAGATGGCTCACAAACTTCTTGGGTTGTTCCCCAGAGAGACCCTCAATCGCCAACACTTTGGCCTTTGGCCAAACAAAGCCTCATCCCACACCACACCTCATTCTATCCAACCACCCTATGCCTATACCTCGTAGGACCATAGAGTTGACTGCTTCGTAGCTGGGTTTCCCAAACAAACACAACCTTTCCCTTGACCCCCATCTCAACACAGCCCCGCCATCTGTCAGCATCTGCCAAGCGACCACGTGTGCGACCACCCCTTGATCCAAAATCTCATGGACCAACTGCTTGTCGTAACTGCCCCGTTTCTGGGACCGGTGCAGCTTCGTGAGGTCGCTCTTGGCGTATGCCATGGGAACGATGGGAACCAACGGTTCGACGGATGCGACGGCTGGGCAAAAAACGACGAAGCCGTAGGAGGATGGCTCATGTGCCAAGTCAATCTATGTTGGAAATGATTTATTGATAAGAAAATGACAAGAAAATGATGGAAATGATAAGAAACTGTCCGGATTTGAGGAAACCAATTGAAGGAATCAATTATTCGCAGCTCTGAGAATCTGCCAATTGAGCGTAATTCGCAATGTGGTGCTAGATGCAGCAATCTGCGCAGTTCACGGCCATGATGCAAAAATCAAACAAACAGTCACTAACAACAATTCGACCTACCTACATCATCCCACTTGTTTGAGGTGTTCTACTCCAATTTTCAAGCATAAAGCCTGGTAAAAGCAGGTAACAGCTGTAGTTTTCAAACTCTTTGGCCCATGGTGCTAATCGCATCCCACCGACAAACCTCGCTAAATGGAGCCTCACAAAATTAATAGATCCACCCCTCATTAGAGAATCAGTTATCAGCTTACCTTTGGTGTGTTGATTTCTACAAGGGGAAGAAATCATATGGATTTGTCTTAAAAGATATCCCATTTCCCCATTTTTTTTTCATGTTGGGGGTATTCAAAACTGTTTGGGACAAACCCCAGCTGTTTGAGGTGTCAAAAGTTGGGATTTACCAGCGAGAAATGCTTTCCAGTTTTGGGGGATACGGTGGAGAAAACAATGAGAAGATCACCTGCAGGAATTTCAGGATCCAATACATGGAGCTACGTTAGTACGTACCATGTTTCAGACCCTATTTTCTGGGGATATTCCCTTAGGGTTCCTGTTGCATCGCCATTAAGGGATGAACAACCGGTTTCATTAATCAAATGGCCGTCTGATAAAAAATCCTAAATAGGAAAGCGATGATTTCTCATTTTCTCATAGAAAAACCTAAGTTATATCCCATTATCCCATCCTATTCCCATGACATCCCAATGTTCAATAGTTAAAAAACACATAAAAACACGACTGGTTGGTGGTTTCAACCATCTTGAAAAATATGAAAGTCAATGGGAAGGATTATCCCATATTATGGAAAATAAAAATCATGTTTGAAACCACCAACCAGACAATGTTTATCCATTCTTCATCCATTTTCCCATAGAAAAAACGGGCCAAACATGACTCCCTCAGCTTCCCCACATGGCTTTCGGGCGGCTGGCCGAGCTCTTGTCTACGGCATTCACGCGGACGTGATCCAACTGCCGCAGATGTTTTTGTTGCTTCGCTGATGGGATGTGGATCTGTAACTTACTGGTGCGTTTTACGTAGGGAATGGATGGGTTGCTGGGGGTTGCTGGGATTATTATTGATAGATATTGCTAGTGATTATGGATCATTCCCTCATTCCCTGCTAAGCACCAGTAAGGTAATGTGGTAAACCCTGGCTGCCATAAACCATTCCCAAAAATCACAATTTTTATGGCTTGTATAAACTGTATAAACCATTCCCAATCATGGTAGGTTTATGGCAGCCAGGGTTTACCGCATGACATTTTTTGATTCTGAAGCACCCAAAAACTGATGAACATTTGGAACGTTCATCGCCGATTACGCCCTTAGTGTTGGAATTGAGCCACCACGTGGGCAACCCAATATCAATTGGAAATACCATCAGATGTATAAACAACATTCAACATGAATGGATCCCTCAACTTGTGGATGTCTTGATGAGGATCCCACCTGGGGATATGCTTGCGGAATTCTGCTAGGTCCATTTTCAGACGCCCCCATTTATTGAATAAAATGCATTGAAACATGGGATACGCTGGGGGGATATTCCCATGGACGATGGTAGAATTATCGTCAGTTTCCCCTGATTTTCCCTATGGATTGGCCGTTTTCCGGGGGAATTCCTCCATTTTTCGCCTCGTTGATGTATAGTGCGATGCTCTGATCGTGGTCCACGAACACGCCACGTGCATCTGGCCTGGCTTCATGGTGGTGCAAGATTGAATGGACCCTCCGGGAATCCATGGTTTGCTGGGAAATCCTCCATGGATATGTTCCAGAAATTTCTAGGGGATTTTCCAGTCACCTGAAATGCCACGTTTGATTAGCAGAGGGTAAACCCAACTATAGATTGAATTGGTACGAGTATGACTTCAAATTGAAATGAATAGAAGCCACTGATACATTGGAAAACTCGAAATTTAGAGGCTTTACTTACCGTGATTATCCTTCGTTTCTATAAACTTACAGTACTGTGATGGTCAACCAAATATTCAACCCCGTTCTCCTTTGAAACGATGCTGTGTATTTTTGTTGTGAATGCTTAGTACAGTAGAATCGTCTACGTGTTTTTCAAGAAACATGATGGGTACATGTTGGGTTTCAACCACTCAGCAGCAGTTTCCAGCAGGATTTGTTTCGGGACTGAACTTTCTGACAAAATGACTTTGAACATTCGGACACCCAATAATCAAAAAAACAAACGCACACATACCCTCTGGATATTTAAGATAGCTAGGATTAAAATGGCCCATTTAGTTCGATGATTTATGATGAAATGATATGATTTGCCTTAAAATACATGTATATATATATATATGTATGTATATATATATATATGTGTATTATATATATATGTATTATACATATATACACGCGATATATGTATTATATATATATGTATTATATGTATATATGTATTATATTATATTATATATATATTATTATATATATTATTATATACATTATTATATATATTATTATATATATTATCATATATATTATTATATATATATACAGCGATGTTCCAGTTCGCACACTCCCAAACTGTTCAACAGCCAGCAGCATCCTGGGCTTCCCAAACCAATCCAGGGCGTAGCCCGAAGAGACCAATACCTCCAGCAGTCTGAAGATATCACCAAGAAAAATTGGGCCATGTGAGATGAAATGGTGAATAATAATCATTATTATTGTTACAGTTTTTGCTGATACTTCAGAAACCAACCCCTTCAATATTATCAACTGATGATACATTATGGTATAAGTGTACATAAATGATACTTCAGAAATGAACATGGAGATAGTGACTATACCAAGTCACAACAAAAAACTCTGGTTGTGTACTGTACATGGATATATGCCAAAAAAAAAGAATGAAGCGGATCACAAATGAGCTATGACCAAAACCCCTGATCAGAAAATTTGAGCAAAATGACTCAAGAAACAACAGAAGTGGGGATATATTCAACAAACCTGGCTGCATCGTGTTCTTTTAAGACCAGTGAGATGCCCTATGCCAAAAGATCCATAATGTCAACCTTGGATATATTAACCCCGTTTACGGCTGTTTAATTGGGAGGGTACCATTTAAGTATCAGATTATGACTATTGGAGGAGTACCCCCCTAATTAATAAACCATGGTTTAGTCTCATCCGGGGTTGACACTAAAGACTTCTATGGGACTTTGGCCACCTGTCTCATCCTCTTCCGGCTACAGCTCGTCTATTCCACTGCCCATGAATTCTTGGGAAATCATAGCACCAAAATTGTTTCCACTAACCTATGGTAGACTTGGGGCGAAGAAAGATCAGCTAAATCACCAAGAATCAACACCTCTTTAAACATCTCATATACATCCAATATACATCTAAATTACATTTATCATATTGCAGTATCTATCCATATTTCAAAGAAGCTGTTGACACTTCTACCCCCACAATCCCATGGCGAAGCTGGGCAAATCCATTCCGTGTAGATTGGCGAAATGGGTTTGGCTGAAAATAGGCAAACTATTTCTAGAAAATCACCCTGTTCGAATTGTCAGGAATTTGGGTAGTTGTCCCATCCATTCTAATCCCATATTGTTGAGATATAATATAATATATATATATATACATATATTGTATGTATATATTATATATATATAATATCATATATATATACATGTGAGTGTGTATCTCATATCCTCATTTAATTGAATATCTCAATTATAGCTAATTATAACCTCATCAGTCCGTCTCATAATAATATCCTTTACTATGGTTCAATATAGTTCACCCTGTCAACCATTAATGTTGTTTGCCTATCGCAACCCTCAAACAGATGCCCAAAGGCACTTCGAGGATGTGAACTACTGTAGATATTCATGTGCTTCCATATTTTCAGGTTTCCCACTTTTTGGCTCTTATTGCTGTGGGTTGCTATTTTGAATTTGCTCAAAATGGCCCAACAAGAACAATCCCTGAATCATGGATTCCCGACTGTTGGTGGATGTTCCATTGCGAAAATAGCGACAATCAGCGACTCAGCAAAGCCAAGTCTTGGAGGATATATATATAATTATATAGTTGTATATATATATATGTTTATTTATATCATATTAAATATGTGTGTGTATATATATATATCCCATTTATATCCCATTTATATCCCCCTATTCTTCATGGTGTGGGGCGCACCGGAGCATCTGGTTCCTCAAAGAGCAGCCCAGCTTCGTGGAGCCTCGCCTCTTCGGCTTCGCCTCAGGGGAGGGGTGAAAATCACCGTTGAATCATGGGGAAACCCATTGAAATCCATGGTTTTACTATGGTGAACTATGGCTGGTTGGTGGTTTTAACATGTTTTAAGCATCTTAAAAAATATGAAAGTCAGTGGGCTGGATTATCCCATATATTGAGGAAAAATAAAAAATATATTAGAAACCACCAACCAGCTATGGTACTGTACTTATGGGTGATAGTTAACTTATGGGAATATCACTATGGTACTTAACTATGGGTGATACTTAACTATCATTAAAAACCATGGGAATATCACAATGGGTTTAACCAATTATGGTGATGGTGATGCTTAACTATGATTTATGGTGATATTCCCATGGTTTTCAATAATGATTTAAACCAATTATGGTGATTTAAAGGAGAGACCATGGACCATGGGAATATCATGGGAATAGAATGGGATAGAGAGAATTAATGAGATATAAGTGTAATTTAAGCATAAAAAATGGTGAATGCATGGGATAAATTTGTTATTTTCAGCGGGATTATATTTCATGATGGCTATGAAATGCTATGTTACG